CTTAGCATGGTAATACGATTTATTGCAGTATATTGAACGTGAAAATGGGAACGAAATTATGGTAAAAGTTGTCGATATGTTCAACACTGACTATTTGTTTTAAGTCTAGCATGTCACAGAAGTAGGGGAGACCGGTGTCAATGTTGTAACACGTTAAATACTTAACTTCTTAATGTGTACTCGATACTAGTAGACCGCTCACAAAGTTAATCGGTACTAACTAAAGTACTGTCGGAAATAGAAAAAATATGTATTTTCTCATTTATCTGTACAATTTATGTAGTTGATATGTGAAAGTGTGAAATATCTGTTAAACTAAGTTCGGCCTCACTACAGTCTCAGTGGTAGAGAGATAGGAAACGGAGAAAAAGGACTTTACTGATAAGAAATTAGTGCAGAAATGAGCAATGCGGTTTTTTCTAATACCAAAAAGACTTATTTGGAACAGACCATGGCTTTATGCAAATTAGTGTGCGACGATATTGTATTACAAAGGACACTTTTTAAATGCCCAATTTGAAATTAGACGTAGATTCATTATAAACGATAGCTGACGTAAAAAATAATAACTTTTATGCCGAAACTATTAAGGATGTAGCTACCATGCAGTCTCACTGTCACTATAAAAAGAAACAGATAGGAGGGGTCGTCTCAAAAGCAAAACCTGGGGTCGGGCTATGGGATGGAGATATCAGCTAAGATAAGATAATCCTTTAGGGCAATTATACTGGGGAGGTACACGGCACGTCATAACAATTTACAAATAATATCCAGTCCTGTCGATCTTCGGGTGTTCATGCCACTTATATACTACGATGCGTTTCTATGGTTTTCGGGTATCATACTCTTTTACATATCTCAACATAAACTATATGAAACTATATGAAAGAAAGACACGTAAGATGTTAATCAATAGATGAGACATAGTCAACACACATGAAAAAGCACAAAATATCTTTGAGATGACCCCTTGTGCCTGTAGGCAGCACGTGCATTTCATGCCAGGTGAGTCGACGGTCCGTCGTCATACCTGGCTGAGCGACCTAATTGCCATTTATAGTCTGATCTATTGTTTTCAGCAGCTATTCGTATTTTTTCTAAGTTTTGACCGATTTTACGAGTAAACATGCTTTTCTGGATATCGTATTACGCATCCCACTGAATGCCAAGTTAGGCAGAAGTGGGTTATTTCGACATATGCTATTTGCAATTGTGTAAATTTTAGGGATACAGAGTAACAGCCTAAAAACAGTTTTTTTCTATTTCCGACAGTACTTTAGTACATTGGCATCTTGGCTTTAAACCTCACTATCATGTCGTTACAAAGTTATTACGTAGCAAATGCAATGACTGCTTGCACAAGTGTTAGCACGGGGCAATTGTAACAGGTGGATGGGGCAATTGTAACAAGAAAGGTTCAAATGTAATAAGCTGTTTATTTTCCAAATAAAATCAAAATGTAATGTGGAAAGATGTTATCTTCATCAACTGAGGTGGAAATGGATAAACATTAAACCTTTGTCACCATCGACATTTAAAATATTTTTGGTTTAATTTTTTTGTTTTCGTATGACCAAAATATGATACAAAGATTAACACCAAAAAGTTCCACCCGAGGGCTATTACTGTCAACATAACACTGAAAATGTTCTACTATGATATCAAAGAACTAAGATAGAACCTTCATCATAATTTTCTTTCAACACTAGAGGAACATCACATGTGGTCAGTTGTAATTATTTACAGTGTTAGAATTGCCCTAGTAGCCATGTTTCATGTCACGTCACATGTTAACAACTTCGGGCTTATCAAATCATTTCTACTTCAAAATATGTCGTAATACCTCAATTTTACACTTAAAAAGTTTATTTCATATCAAGGGACATTTACTGCATTAAGAACGTTTTATTACGTTTTGTGAAAAAATTACTTACCTAAGTGAAAAAACATTTTTCGTAGACTGTATCTCTCCACGATCGAGCAGCTGAAAAACGTCTGGATGTGTACCGCAGGAAAGCAAAGGGAAATAACTCTACTCACATACGCTATGCTTGAGCGAAAACGTTTAGAGTAATCGCCCTTGTTACAATTGCCCCGGGATACCCGGTTTCCCCATGCATACCACTCAGATACAGCACACAAAAAGATGAAGATGGATGGTTTAACCACCGAATCTCACGTACCATAGGCCAGTTGGCCACCTCCAAGCAACGAGCAGGGAAACAGCTATTTTTTAAAGTTTTCTGAAGCGTTTATAATCGAGTCGGACCAGCCAATCCAGTGACTGGCATCTTGAGCATGTATGGACTTCCGCAACTGAGATACAATTACAAAGGCAGCGAGAATGACCACCTAATCCCGTTATTCGCCTCTTATGACAAAACCAAGTCGAAACCGGATCTTGATATGTCCGTCGACAACTTAACCAACTTTCTTCGGCTCAAGTAAGAAAAATGGATGTCTAAAACAGGAATCAATTGAACTATTCTTAGCGAAACATACGATTCTGACTCGGAAATCGCACGGTTGTTGATGATTGAGTCCATTTCTAAGTCTCAGTAGAATTAACCCGTGAAGGTCCGGGTTAAAATTGATCGTCAGTAACCCATGCTTGTCGTCAGAGCTAGGCGACTAACGGGATCGGGTTGTCAGGCTCGCTGACTTGGTTGACACATGTCATTGGTTCCCAATTGCGCAGATCGATGCTCATGCTGATGATCACTGGTCTTTCTGGTCCAGACTCGATTATTTACAGACCGCAGCCATATAGCTGAAATATTGCTGAGTGCGGCGTAAAGCTAAACTCACTCACTCAGTAGAATTATTGTTTTGTTTGTTGTTTAGAACTGCACCGATATAGTGCAGCTATATATGAAGCGGTCTGTAAATAATCGTGTCTGAACCAGACAACCCAGAGATTGATATCATGAACATCAATGCTCGCAATAAGGATGCGATGACAATAAAAAAAACCTCAAGACAATCCACTTGTCAATAGCATGAGCATCGATCTGTGAAACTGAGATACGATGGCATATGTCAAGTCAGCGACCCTGACCACCCTATCCCGTGAATAGCGATTTCTGGTGTCCCCCCGCCGTGATGTTGCTGGAATATTGCTAAAAGCGGCGTAAAACCAAACTCAGTCAGTCAGTCAGTCAGTTAGTAGCATCTGTCTGTTTTATTGATGCCAAACTGTTTGGAGCATTTCTACAAGTGGCTACAGTGAAGCCCATTTCGCCGTGATATTGCTGCAATATTGCAAAAGCGGCGTAAAACGCACTCACTCACTACAAGTGGCTACTAAGAATTAAATATTACCCAAAATTCCTCTTGGCTAAACTGTTATTTTTTTGGTCGTCAGGATGTACTTCAGTTATTCTGTCGAATGCACAATTCCAAGAATTTATGGCCAGAAATGACTGATCCACCAGGTTTGGATGTACAGAAGCTATGACTCTGAGCTTTTCCGTAGTTGTCGATTCATTTACGGCACTACCTCATGCGAGCTGCAAGATAACGGTTACTGAAGGGCTGACCGTGCCTATAGTCTGTTTGCAGTGAAAACGTACCGATGAATTTCACTTTAAGCAAAAACGTAAATCAAATAAAGTGAATTTAGAAGTACGAGTCCTCATGATTTTACCTTGCTAATTGAACATTTAAATCTCAGAATTTTATTCAAGTTGTTTAACAAACGATCATTGTTTCAAATCGCTATTGTTGGTTTGTATTACAAGGGGGGTATGCACATTAAATGAAACACCGAGAAGAAGTGGGGTTGGTCTAAGTTAACGTTCATCACGTACCGCACGTGCATTTGTATCACTGTTCCAATTACTGCGTTTACTCCCTTGTAATACAAACCAATAATAGCGATTTGAATCTATAATCGTCTGTTAAACAACTTTTATCCTAAGTTGAATAAAATTCAGAAATTTATATGTTTAATTGGCAAGGTAAAATTATGAGGATTCGCAATCTTAATTTCACTTTATTTGATTTACTGTTTTGTTTAAAGTGAAATTCATCGGTACATTTTCACTGCAAACAGACGATAATGCGAGGTGAGAACGATTTACGCACTGCCTGTTGCGACCTTACATGCTTCTTATGTACTTGCATTGTGCTGACGGAGCTCTCGTATGAAGACATCGTTGCCTTCCTCTAACACTATATATTGATTCAAGAATGGAGCTCGAGCATTATTCTACTTTGACACACTGGCGAAGCCTAGTTGTTAAAGCGTTCGCGCGTCATGCCAAAGGCCCCGGGTTCGATTCCCCACATTGGCACAATGTGTGAAGCCCATTTCTGGTGTCAGGCTCGATGAGTTGATTGATTGCATATCAGCTGTCCCGGCTGTGTGGCAGGATGTCAGTCACTGGATTGTCTGTTCCAAAGAGTAAAGGACGTTTGGGTAGCCTTGTGGTTAAAGTGTTCGCTCGCCACGCTGAAGACTCGTGATATTGCTGGAATATTGCTAAAGGCGGCGTAAAACCATGCTCACTCACTCACTGTTGGACCTTTCGCGTGTGTTTTAATCCAATGTGTTAATTACCTTTCGATCAAGAATGGTTTCCCCCCTGGTGTTACAATTCAGTTCTGTATGAATATTGAATACCTGTTAAGTCTGAGTCAACCTTCTCGTTTCAGCTGGGGAAACAGCTCTTAACTATTTCAACATTATTCCAGTTATATCACTTGCGTGTCAATTAACGCGAAGAAAACCCGAAATGGTGCAGTTCCTAAACATACGCCACTTTGGTGTGGTGCTGGCAAACGCAGATGTATAATGGAGGCGAATCTGGGATTCAAAACCACAAATATAGGATCCTGTCATGCCTAAGGGAAGTAACTCTCCATAGCGAGCTACGTTGCTTACAAGGCAATTGAACCATAAACCCGCGACTATTTAGGCCTAAAGGCAATGTGTGCATATAACGACTAATGCTAAATTGAATATGATATGAAAGGAAATACAAGAAGAAAAGACGATAAAATATTTGAACAAATGCATTACAAAATATTATACATGTTCAATATAACTCACACGCAAAAGTAATATATATTCTCAAACGTTCATGTTTTCGGAACATAAGATTGCAAACAGGAGCATAGACAAAGAAATAAGTGACTTCCCAGAATGGACTTTGCAACATGTGGAATAATATTACATCTCTCCATATCTAGTAATTGTCGTAGTAACGGATCTGATCGAGGTCTTCCTGAATCTTTTACATCAGTTTCATTCTCACGCCAAACTGGGTTGATGATGATTAATTCAAGAAAATAAAACCAATTAAGGTATGTGTAATTATATTCTCTAGCATGCACATTTTGAACACTTAAAATCACACAAAAATGTCTGAATATATCGTTTTCAGTGAGTTTTTAAAATGAATAATTTGCAATTATGCGTTGGCGTCATGTACGAATGTCATACAAGAGATGATACATGTTCAATAAAACTCAAACACATATGTTATATTTATCATCCTTCAAACGTTCATTTTTGGGGATATTATCCGATTGCAACAAGCACATACAAAGAATTTAGTTACTTCCCAGAATGGGCTTAGCAACAAGTGGTATAATATTCTATCTCTCCATATCTGGTAATTTTCACAGTAAGGAATACATAGGTCTTCCTGAATCTTCTACAACAGTTTCGGGACATCTCTGGGCTCAATGCGCATGCTCGTCGGGTATTCCTTCTTCCGGCGCTCTCGCTCAGTTTCGATGGCCTCGTGGTAGTATCCGTAATAATCGCCTCTCCCTGCACGTGCAGGGGGCACCCACTGGTCAGCTTTGGGCCAGGGGTTTTGGAAGATGTCCCTGTGTGGCATGGAGGGGAGATTGCGTGTATAGCCTGACAGTCTGAGAGCAGGAACACCGGACTGCTTCAAGCCGACGTCCTTGTGGTAGTAGCCTGGGACAAGAAATGATGAAGACTTGATATGGTAGACTCGACCTTGACCCGTAAAATATGCATCAAATGAAGTTATGAATGGGGGTGCCATGAGTATGTTACTGATTTTTCAGTTTTGGCCAAAAGAAATTCGAATATGAATTTAAACTTTGAAAATTTAACATTGGCGTTTCATGGTATCCAGCCATAGGCGCCTGACTCTGATATATTTATAAGTATGGCCTATATATATAAGATTATCTTATACTCAAAGTATATCAGAGTCGAAATGCCTATATCCAGCGTACTGTTAGCACCATTTGAAATACAACTCAACAGGTACCGGCGTCCGGGGTATAAAAAGGAGTTTGGTATCATCATTAATTGGGCACGTATCCCGGGACTAGGAATTATTTTCGATGAAGTGTGGTTGTTCGAATTTGTTCGTTTGTTGCTGAAGACCAATTCCATTTATATTCATATACTCTTAAAAAACGTAGGGGAACTTCGTTTTTAATTTACGATTGAAAACATTGGGAGATATGTCGGAGTCAAGCAATGTTATATATCAATATCAATAATATATATGATAATAATGAAGGTTTAGAGAGTGCATCACCACTTGCACTTCCTTATGACCATAGATGTTTGAACAGGAATCACTTTTGAAAGATGATTGGTGTATGACCTGCAATTTGCATGTATAGGATTTTCATTTTCAACTCCCCCTCCAAAAAAAAAAAGGGCAAGTAGAAAATGACTACAACCAACGCTAGCCGATGCAAGATGATTGTCGAAATCATGGTCTACAGCGATTTATCGACATTCATGAAAATTGTCAAAATCAAGACAATGCACGTGTATGGAGCTACTGCATTGTGCACGTGCATCACATGCGTTTTGGGGTGGTGATAAAGAGAAATGGTGGTGCTTTCATGAGATATCAGTCTTTGAAATATTTGAGAAGGCTTATACTTCCTATCCAAATTGAAAGTTCAGGTTCCCCAACTTTTTTGAAGAGTATATTTCGTAAAGTTTGGAAATACACTGACGTACAAAAAAAGTACACACTTGGTGCTTTGGGGTTATTTTCCAAAGTAACACGAAAATCTTTTGAAAGGGGTTTTGATAGTGACTTACAAATCACAGACATGGGTACGTGCCGGAAAAACACCACCTATATCCTTTGTGTGTATTAAAACGTGACAGGTACGCGTGAATTGTTGGAAAGAGTAGTTGTTTCATATTACAGGTAAATGCACACATTTAACATGACAGCTCAGTGACTATGACAGAACACCGAGAAACCTCAAGTTATATATCCAGTTATATACAAATGTGACGTAATACATGACATCACACACCACGTGACCTGTGACGTACCTCCAGGCGTGTCCCTCTGGCGTGTAAAGGCCACCCACTGGTCTTCTGACTGCATGTCTATAGCGTCTCTCCGCGTTTCCCGGGGCAAGGAGCGATAGTCGTGGTACTTGATCCAGTCTCGCTCCGAGGGGACGTAGTACTGTTGGCCCATCCACACGTGAGACTTCCAGTCCCCGGACAGATAGTTGTTGGATGGGGTGGAATAGTGGGGCTTCGGCAGCTCAGAAGACATGGCTGAAATACCATATGTACAGTAAATGTCGGGTAGCATTCCGGGTGGGCATGTAGGCAGTTGGGTTAAGTGTTTAGGAACTCGTTCATTCAGCTGAGTATATTAATTGTTTGTTGCTTAACGCTGCTTATTAAGCAATATTGCAGCTATAACGCCGCCCGGAAATAATATGAGAACCACTGTGAAGATTCGGGTTAGAATTTATTTTCAGGACGCGATCCACAAAGTTGGTTGTTCTTTAACGACGAACTCACCTATCTTCCAACTATATAGCGGCAGTCTGTAAATAATCGACCCTGGGCCAGACAATACTGTGATCAACAACATGAGCATCGACCTACGCAATTTGGATACGAGATGTGTCAACCAGGTCAGCGAGCCTGACCACCCGATCCCGATCCACAAAGCGTTCGCCAATTTTCACGGAGTTTCAACATTTATTGATCTGATAACAATAATCTTTTCAACTTTACGAATTTGTTTTACAATGCATCATTTCATGTGTAAACAGTACCTTTAAACAGTATGGAATATTTTGCAAAATCTGGTTTAGGACAGTTGACTGAAGTTGACTACATTTACACTAGTACGTGAGTCTAAACTTTTGATGGGTAGTATATATAGATATAGTTCATTGTGGAACTGATTTTCTGAAATTAAAAATTTAAATCGCCTTCAGATTAATCTGTGATGTAGATCGAGTCGCTTTTTTCGGAAACAATTTTTGATAAATGTATATGAAGAATGATGTAACTGAACTGTTTTTGGTAATATGCAACGGTAATAAGGTGTAGTTTTTATCACATCAGTGATGGGCAAAACTGAGATACAGAAAACTCTTCATTATTTCAACGAAAATTCAGGGCGATCGATAGATGGGAAGCAATAAAGAATACGGACAGCCCAAGGGTTGTCTGATGATACAGGACGTGTCAGTCTAGAGTGCAAGACTGTGCTCAAGGTGAACCAGCGTCTTTACTTCGCGTAAAGAGACACGGCCTTCTTACGTCAACTAGATTATTGGCCAATTGACTGGATGGTAAGATGACTTGATGGTCAGATTAAATGGGCACCTGATTTGCACAAAGACGAGCTATAACATTTACTTCACATGAAAAATGGATCATTAATTTTGAGCTTCCTTACATGAAATATTAAGTGCGTGAGTTTAGCAATATTCCAGCTATATGGCGACGGTCTGTAAATAATCCAGTCTGGACCAGACAATCCAGTGATCAACAGCATGAGCATCGATCTACGCAACTGGGAACCGATGACATGTGCCAACCAAGTCAGAAATATTATGGGTTCTGTAACGTTATAAAATGACAGGGTGTACCGTAAGATTATTTATAATAAATATATTATTAGGATCCAATATTTCTTAACAAGAATTTTGGTACAATAGATATTATTGTGAGTCCTCCGGATACAGGATGAGCATTGCTAATCTCTGTGTCATCCTATACATCTCTCCTATCCGGATGCAAAGTCCCTGCCTCGTCGCACGAATCAGCTTTGAAAAGCTCGGTGGAGTTATGTCCCTTGAAGGACGAATCGATCGCATCTCGACAAGGCAGTACGATAGATTTACTGATTGCAAACTAAATTGGTACCAGTTGTGAGTGTAATCAAGATATATTTCACATGACATGTCTAAATTTTAAAAGGAGAGCATAAACTCATGCATCATGAAAATTAAGACAGAATGCAATATTCACAATAAATATATAATATTGTATTCAGTCAGGTAAATATAAACAGTTTTGAATCATTTATGAAATAAGAAATGCTGAAATTACCTTGACGAGTCTACGACAAAGAACATAAGAGACACAAGCCGTTTGTTTATACTTGCTCTGTTTCTCTACTAGGTGGCGTTTTTGCGCACCTGGTTGTTGCTACGATACGGTAAACAAGATGGCCGCCATCTACTCCAGGAAGTGACCAGTGAAAGTGTTGACAGCGAATATTGTTTAAGGTAACATGAGTTCGTCTTTGTCATTTTGATTAAGTTAATTTAGAGACAACAATGCGTTAACAACATCTTGTAAATATTTTTTGTTTGTTTTTGTATTGATCAGAAATGTGAACCTCAGCCATCGACACTTAACGATAATATCAAGCAAACTTGCACTTTGTGATCAAATTTTATTGAAGTGATGCAATCGTCACAAATATGAGAGAGAGAGAGAGAGAGAGAGAGAGAGAGAGAGAGAGAGAGAGAGAGAGAGAGAGAGAGAGAGAGAGAGAGAGAGAGAGAGAGAGAGAGAGACAACTACCTAAAAATGTGTGAAATCTGAAAACCTATGATCTAATAATAATATAGCATTGATATTCATCAATTTGCATCATCATTGGACATTTATCATAGTGATATATAATATATACACTAAAATCGTTACATAGTTCTTCTTTGCTTGTGGTTGTTGGGGAAGTTGTGTGCCTTAACTTGTTCTGATATACAGATGTCTTGAAAAGCGATTCTAAATAGTATAATTACGTCTGTTCTTCGACAGGAAAAACATTCATTGCCATTATGAAATAATTTGTTCCTAATATATATATATATATATGTAGGGAATAAACTCCACCTGAATAAAGTCCAGTCATGTGTGATGTCAATGAGCCAGTAGAATCCAGTATCATATTTACTGTTGAGGATTGGAAAGTCAGTGAACAGTTGCATTGATGGATTTTGTTGATATTGCCTAATGATATGTAATGTTATATTGTCATTGTCTCTGTGAAATTCATTGCTCAGAAAATACACAAGATGTACACAAGATGATTTATAAAGTTTCACAGTAATTTCAGATTTTGTATGCATGTTAAACAGGGAATTAATGTGAACATGAAAAAATGCTAAAAATGTCTCTGCAGTGTTAACATCTATAGCATGATCATTCATTTTTTAACATATTGCATATTGGAGTTCATTGTCATTTATGCCTTTACGTATTTATTAAGTTCCTCAAAAGGGGTGAATAGAGATTACTTACTATATTTGAATAATACAGAATTGGAGTGGTTGTTCTCATTAATTTGGTGAAAGATTCATTTCATGATTTACAGGATGTCTCAAATGTGTAATGACTTCCTATCACCATTTCAGACCAAACTTCAAGTATGTCACGTGGTTCGTCGCGGGGTGAGCTAGAGACAGGGAAGGGGACCACATTATGTGAACGAGGCCCATACAACAGTGTCCCTGTAGACAACTACCCAAGTGGAGACGGAAAGTCGTATGTGTATGAGGGATCTGGGTATTACATCCCGTCGGAAAGAAGCTGGGTGAAATACCATGAGTACAGGTCCATACCCCCCAACACTCGCCGAGACGCTATTCTGTTCGAGTCTGAGGAACAGTGGAGGAAATATCAGAGTCAGCGAGACAGCCGCTCTGCCCCTGGTGGTGAGAATATATATTGTTACCACTTTCCTTATTCATGAATAATATGGACCACTTTGCACATACAACACTGGCTGTTCGCATATGTCCATGTTGACCACCCGGGCCGAAAATGTATATCAGCCGTATCAGCCCAAGTGCTGAAAATCCACATCAGTCGTATTGCCCGGCTACTAAACTGGTATGGTATAAATACTTGCAAATGCTCGAAACTTCAATAGACGGAGCCAAGTTTGTTTTAGAGTTACGTCCCTTGATGTGGTATATATTAAAAGGGTTATGATATGAGTTTCCCTTTTGCCAATCATATTGGCCCTCGACTACCATATCAGCCCGAGGGGCCTTAGGTAGACTCGGGCTGATATGACTGGAAAACTGTCGTGAAATAGCCTCTTAATATTAACTGTTTAAGATGTTACAAAAATTTAAGTGAGTGAGGGAGTTTAGGTTTAAGCCGCTTTTAGCACTATTCCAGCAATATCACGACAGGGGGCACCAGAAATGGGCTCCAGATATTGTACCCTTGTGGTGAATCGAACCCGGGTCTTCAGAATGATGAGCAAACGCTTTACACACAAGTCTACCCCACCACCCTGTTTGTTTTCAGACACTTCAGAAGTTAAACTTTGTTGAATACAGGTGTCACTTCTCTTCTGAATCACCCACAGAATGAGTCCTAACTTCATTTAAATGCATTCTGAACAGGACAGCTCAACTCATGAAAGGGACACTGCGCTAGGTCACATTCGTACAAAGTCACGAGACAATATTCATAAAATTTAACTTTTGTTTATAAGGACATAAAGCCCAATATGTGTCAGGTGCGTGATGAATAGCTGACTCATAACATCCAGGCAGATGTATCCCCACCTTGACACTCAGAATATCCCTAATAATTGTTGGGTAGTATAGTTGTCAATGAAATGGAGATACAACCCTTGATAACTCGGATGCTCTGTGTGAGAAAATGTTGTTAACAGAAACATGACATATACTTTCCTCTCAGCGATTGACTGATATCTCTACAAATAAGACACACAAAATCTAAAGAGTATTTTCTCCATGACTAAGTCAGCTAATCACTGACAAATTATTATTGCAGGTATTACATTCTCCGAGTTCCGAGCTCCGCCGACAACACCATTATCTGCGTTACTGCCATATCAGCGAGCGGGACAAAGCCGTGGTCTGGGTCTGGGTTCTTCGTGGCTCCTACAGACAAATGGATTCATGAACAAACAGGTCCAGGAATACCCTCTAACGCTTCTACCTGTTCTACAATGAAGAAGACTGGATCAAATTCGCTACCAAGTAGAAAACCCAACTATGAAAAAGTCTTGATTGTTCTTGATTATGCATCAGAATTGGGACCCATTTATTATCTCAGCATTTCTTGATCTATTGTGCTACAAAAGTCAATATTGTTTTCAATTTGGTTGTGATACAGAAAATGTTAAAAAATCATGAAAGTGTTCTCGAGCCATTTGTACCAAATCATTGTAATTGCCCAGTGAATTATCTTGCCACACCTAAAATTATATTGCATACTCTCTACAAAGAGCAATAAGTCCTGGCCAACCTTATTACTAGGGCTGGCAATCAATATGGATCATAAATATATATATATATCTCAAGATAGTCTGTCATACAGACCCTGAAGCAAATATATACAAGAAAGCCCCCACGAAAGTCTAGAAAATGTGGCAAGTCTAGATTTCCACAGCTTCTGAAAATGAAGAAAGTCTCAGGCTCCTTTTCATTATATTTCATTAGTTTTACTATGAGCTTTTTTTCTGTAAAATATGTTCATTTCAGAGACTAGTTGTTAGTCTAATCTCCAAGATACCATGTATATATGATAGTCTTCTGTTTCCTTATAGAAGCTAGTTTATTGTTGACATCAGGTCCCGATCATGAAAATAGCCTGAATTACATTGCAGTATTGTAATGCAAATGTAGATATGTATGCAAATAGACAGGTGTTCTAGAAGTGTAATATTGAATTGTACAAATAAATTGCTGCTGCACTTCCGACAAGTGAGATACTATTTATTTCTTTAGTTTCTAAGTGTAGCAGCCATGAAATGTCTGAGTCTCGTGCTGGGATTCGAACTATGGACCTTCTGATCCGGAGTTAGACGCCTTGTCCACATAAGCAAAGAGGTTAACCCGCTAGCAAGCTGACAAGGCAAGTATGTCATCTATGGGATGGCTCCACGACCTGCTACATACTCCCCTGTCAACTTAAGGCACGTCCCTTGCACACAGCAGGGTACTGAGACTTGTTCAAATTTTATATGACTATGCTCAGCCCCACGTTGGCGCCAATGTACCGATTATAGGCACCACCCCTATAAAAATGCCACACTCTGCAATATTCCAGCTTTATGGGGCGATCTATAAATAATCGAGTCTGGACCAGACAATCCAGTGATCAACAGCATGAGCATTGATCTACCTAATTGGGATACGATGACATGAGTCAACCAAGTCAGCGAGTCTGACCACCATTACGCCTCTTACGACAAGCATGGGTTACTGAAGATCAATTCTAACCAGGATCTCACGGGTCTCAGGAACCTAGCAATGTATACTTGTGTAAGGCAACATCAGTTGGTCATTCTCTGTGACAATGACAGCATGTCAGCATCCTGCAGTGACAATATCAATCACTGGATAGTCTGATCAGGCTTGATTAGTAGAGGCCACTGTTACCTGGAAGACTGTTGGATGCACAATAAACAACAGGCAAAACATTCCAGCAACATCATGGCGGGGGACACCAGAAATGGGCTTCACACATTGTACCCATGTGGGGATTCGAACCCGGGTCTTCAGCGTGACGAGCCAACGCTTTATCCACTAGGCTACCCCACCGCCCCCTTTAACCACTAGGCTACCCAACCGACCCCACTCTCACGTGAGGTGGGAGTATAACAAAGTATAACAATGTATAAAGCATATAAAACAGAACAGTATTTTACAAATAATGTATTTATTATCCCCTCAATAAATACACCATGGAATGTGAAGATTTAAAAATCAATGCTCACCATCTGATGCCTGACCTGGAAATACAGAGGTATTGATGGACATCTGTTTCCTACAGTTACCATGGTAATAGATTGTTATTGTCATTGTAAAACAGTGGTAAACAAAAAATAACACCATCGCAGATACACCAAGAGGAAACCATTCACGAGTAATGCCATTAATGCTGATCTAATTTTTAAAAGGTGAAAGTCGTAAGATATGACAGCATAATTTCTTTCCTCTCTTTCTAGTTTGAACAATTCCTTTTAGTCAGATTTGATATGTTTTTCAGTGGACCACAACTGATGAATCAAACATAACAGTAAATCAAATGTGTTATCCTGCATGGGACGGTTTATCACAAAATGACGACACATTGACTTTGAGCGAGATCTGGTGTCGAGAATCTCACCCCTTTAATCAAGGTTCATATCCCACGTCAGTACTAACAGTATACCTGTGCCAGACAAGATGAAAATAATTATTATTAGCACATGTTTACCCACTAAATTGCAACACTGAGTTACGCACATCCTTTCCATCTCCAGGGTGCCAGTTGGTGAACATACACTAAGACCTGTTTCCATTCCGCAATTTCAAATTACCCATGATTATTGTTCATTAACATTTTACCGACAAATGAAAGTTTTTAGTTTTCAATGATGAATTTCTCGTAAACCTGTTCATAATCTACGTAGCAGGCTGCCATTGTTTTGACTTTCTCAACCAAACATTGGCTGGTTTATAACTCACATAGAAATTAATAACTGAGATTGTCAGAACCATAAGTAAGTGAGTGAGTGAGTATGCTTTTACATCGCTTTTAGCAATATTCCAGCAATATCACAGCAGGGGACACCAGAAATGGGCTTCACACATTGTACCTATGGGGGGAATCGAACCTGGTCTTCGGCGTGATTTAGCCAACGCTTTTAACCACAAGGCTACCCCACCACCTTCATCTCGCCAGAACCATGAGAATGGATCCAGGGACAGTGTGTTTACTGAATGCTACCCTGGAGACACAGACGATGATCTCCATAACACTTCCTTATATTCAACATTGCAACATCAGTTATAGAACTCTGCATCTGCACCAGCTGCAGTTCAGAAAACAAACACCCTCATTATATTATTATTATTATTATTATTAACACCCTTATTATAAAACGTAGATCACTCCAACAGCAGTTGTATCATACACACAATACATGTATTAAGCCACCATTCATCATAATATCCCATTCACACAACAAGTCAAGCGTGTTAGAATAAACTTTGGTACTCCCTTACACTGAACAGGGAGGCTATGTGGTTATACTAGAGAGAACATCACACCTAAATAACACAGAATCTTCACATTATCCATAATTACAGGCACATGTTGGCAAACATCTTAAGTTTCCAGAGTAACTGACCGAAGAACACAGTCCTCTCTACAGTTACCACAATAATTATTACAAATTCATCCCATACATATTTACACAATTAACTACAATCCATAAGGTTTATTTGTCCTCAATGAATTAACTTTGTAAGTTCCGAGTCTTGGCAAGAAACTTTTGAATTATTTCAGAGGGACAGATAATTCAAAATTCTGGATTGATAAACTTAATAAAATAAACAAAAATTAATGATAACTCTGAAAATAACAATTTCGAGACGTTACTAATCCATATCCCAAATACATCAAACTTCATTTAGGACAAGGACAATCTAGATTTGTTTTAAGTACAGGCTCATTATACACAAGGCCTTGTTAACCAATCATTTAAGACAACGAAGACGGTGAAGGGCTGACATTCTACTACTATTTGGTATTAGAAAGAACAGACAAACATAGTAATATACATACAAACTACCTTCATTGCCATGTATTTTCAGGTCCCTCTGATGAACCAGTATCTATTAACCTGATGATGCTGAGATGTATGTGACAGGAATGAAGACATTACATATGCTTTGCAAAACACAGCCACTGTGAAACACTTGGGTGACAGGGATATATCTACCAATCGTAACACCACTAATGTGAGGGTTAGAGTGGTCTCCCTTTATGGCATGCGGTGACCGAGGATGGGAATCGTTGAGTTGTTCTTCCAGCAAAAACCTGATGACGGGGCACATTTGTAGCCAACGGGACAGCAGTGGATCTTGTCAGCACAGCAGATAGCCTGCAACATCGTGTACAACATTGATTATTGTACAGACTGCAACATTGTGTACATTTTAGTACAGCCTGTAACATTGTGTACGACATTATAGTACAGCCTGCAACATTGTGTACAACATTATAGTACAGCCTGCAACATTGTGTACATCATAGTGCAGCCTGCAACATTGTGTACAACATGATCGTACAGCCTGCAACATTGTGCACAACATTATAGTACAGCCTGCAACATTGTGTACAACATGATCGTACAGCCTGCAACATTGTGCACAACATTATAGTACAGCCTGCAACATTGTGTACAACATTATAGTACAGCCTGCAACACTGTGTACAACATTATAGTACAGCCTGCAACATTGTGTACAACATTATAGTACAGCCTGCAACACTGTGTACAACATTATACTATAGTACAGCCTGCAAGATTGTGTACAACATCATAGTGCAGCCTGCAACATTGTGTACAACATTATAGTACAGCCTGAAAGATTGTGTACAACATCATAGTGCAGCCTGCAACATTGTGTACAACATTATAGTACAGCCTGCAACATTGTGTACAACATTATAGTACAGCCTGCAACATTGTGTACAACATGATAGTACAGCCTGCAACATTGTGCACAACATCATAGTACAGCCTGCAACATTGTGTACAACATTATAGTGCAGCCTGCAACATTGTGTACAACATTATAGTACAGCCTGCAACATTGTGTACAACATTATAGTACAGCCTGCAACATTGTGCAACATTGTGTACAACATAATAGTACAGCCTGCAACATTGTGTACAACATTATAGTACAGCCTGCAACATTGTGTACAACATCATAGTGCAGCCTGCAACATTGTGTACAACATAGTACAGCCTGCAACATTGTGTACAACATTATACTACACCCTGCAAGATTGTGTACAACATTATAGTACAGCCTGCAACATTGTGTACAACATTATAGTACAGCCTGCAACATTGTGTACAACATTATAGTACAGCCTGCAACATTGTGCACAACATTATAGTACAGCCTGCAACATCGCGTACAACATTATAGTACAGCCTGCAACATTGTGAACAACATTATAATGCAGCTGCAAGATTGTGTACAAGATTATAGTGCAGCCTGCAATATCGTGTACAACATTAACATGAAAGTACAACCTGCAACACCATGTACAACATTAACAGGACAGGACAGCCTACAACATTATGTACAACATTAAGATGACAGTCCAGCCTGCAACATCGTACATTAACACCGTGGACCATGAAACAACCGCAGTTTACTGTTGCACAATATAGACACAAATTATCTGTAGGCATGGACCCTCTAAATTTCAAACAACTGGTCTGAACTGAGAATTACATGCTGCTGGCCAGCTGACAGGCACATACTTTGAACACCGTGCTGCACAGATCCCTTCTATATTATAGGAATTTTCTGAATCCACATCCAACATAAACAACCTGTGCTGGTAGTGAGAGTAGATGAAGGAAAGATCTATTGTTGGACTC